GTATTGAGTATTTACCTGTATTGTTATTTATGGCACAACAGGTGAACAAAAATTGCAATAAATTATTAGGTAAAACACAAATATCTTTCAGTAACTTTATTGCCTATGGATAGATGATAATAGATGGCATTGTGTGGTACTGAAGTGGTGTGATGGAGTTTGGTACTGAGGTGTGTGAGGGAGTTTGGTACTGAGGTGTGTGAGGGAGTTTGGTACTGAGGTGTGTGAGGGAGTTTGGTACTGAGGTGTGTGAGGGTGTGTGGTACTGAGGTGGTGTGAGGGAGTGTGGTACTGAGGTGTGTGAGGGAGTGTGGTACTGAGGTGGTGTGAGGGTATGTGGTACTGAGGCGGTGTGAGGGTGTGTGGTACTGAGGCGGTGTGAGGGTGTGTGGTACTGAGGTGGTGTGAGGGGTGTGGTACTGAGGTGGTGTGAGGGAGTGTGGTACTGAGGTGTGTGAGGGAGTGTGGTACTGAGGTGTGTGAGGGAGTGTGGTACTGAGGTGTGTGAGGGTGTGTGGTACTGAGGTGGTGTGAGGGAGTGTGGTACTGAGGTGGTGTGAGGGAGTGTGGTACTGAGGCGGTGTGAGGGAGTGTGGTACTGAGGTGGTGTGAGGGAGTGTGGTACTGAGGTGGTGTGAGGGAGTGTGGTACTGAGGTGGTGTGAGGGAGTGTGGTACTGAGGTGGTGTGAGGGAGTGTGGTACTGAGGCGGTGTGAGGGAGTGTGGTACTGAGGCGGTGTGAGGGAGTGTGGTACTGAGGTGGTGTGAGGGAGTGTGGTACTGAGGTGGTGTGAGGGAGTGTGGAACTGAGGCGGTGTGAGGGAGTGTGGTACTGAGGCGGTGTGAGGGTGTGTGGAACTGAGGTGGTGTGAGGGAGTGTGGAACTGAGGTGGTGTGAGGGAGTGTGGTACTGAGGCGGTGTGAGGGAGTGTGGAACTGAGGTGGTGTGAGGGAGTGTGGAACTGAGGCGGTGTGAGGGTGTGTGGTAGTGAGGTGGTGTGAGGGAGTGTGGAACTGAGGTGGTGTGAGGGAGTGTGGTACTGAGGCGGTGTGAGGGAGTGTGGAACTGAGGCTTTTTTCTTCGACAGACTTGGCCACACATTTACCAAGCTAACCAACATATATACATTTTCTTCTGTCCTCCATGGACAGGGTGAGAGATCTGTTAAACATATAGTTCAGTGATTTATTGAACATCTGTGGTTGATTGTAATATTATTGGAATTTATGTGCAATTGTTCTGCCTTACATAACAACAAAGGTAAATACACAATACAAGTGCTAATAAAGTCAATGGACATTAAATTATACTATAAAATGTTTTAAATATATATAACACTTATATGTATATATTTAGTAAATATGTGAAAATAATAATTTTATATATTTTTTTTTTTTACTTCTTTTCACAATATATTGACCTACAACTTATATTGACCTACAACTTTATCATTTTGAGTACAAATGCTCAGTGTTGATTTTTTTGGAGGTTATATCTTTTGATATAAGATGATAAGGGTAACCGTGACGAGTTCTTAATGTTTTACAATACTGAATGAATGAAATTGGGTTTGAAATTTATTAAATTGGTTTTTGAAATGAAAGTATTAAGCCAGCCGGAAGATGATGGTCGTTGCCAAAATCTTAAAGGTCAGTATGTGGCCATGGCACTCTGTTCTCTCTTGAATGGTGGGGACCCAAACTCGACCATGTTGGACATGTACCCCACAGCAACCACAGTGTAAAATTGGCGAGGTTAGCCTGAGGCATGCTGCCTCAAGCTTAGAGGCATTATGCTTGAGACCGACATTCTCACCTATAGATAGATAAATATAATTCCCATTGTTGGGGAAATACAGCTTTTAGTTAGGTAATTAGCTTGTAATTAGGTCCCTAGAAGGTAATTTGTTGGCCTTAACCTGGATGTAACTCACAGTCATTGCCAAACTCTCTAGTACGTATTGACTGCTAGATGAACAGAGTCATCGTCTTAATGGAAATGTGTCCAACTAGCAGTCCCAGCGGCGCAGTGGTAAAACAGTCGCGCGGCGCTTCGTGAGTGATTTGGGCTGTTTTTATTTTTATTTTTGAGATATATAGAAGAGTTGTTACATTCATGTACAGCCACAAGCACGCGTAGCGTTTCAGCCGGGTCCCTAGAATACGACCCCCACGAAGAATTGTTTATACAACCAAGTGCCCATTTTTACTGTTGAATTAAACAAAGGCTACAGTTAATAAGGATTTGCGCCCAGTAAATCCTCCCCGGCCAGGATACGAACCAATGACAAAGCGCTCGCGGAACGCCAGGTGAGTGTCTTACCACTACACCATGGAGACTAGGTTCATATCTTGGCCGGGGAGGATGGATTACTCGTTAATCCTAACGCCTAATCCATTTGAGAAAATTTGGATTAAGGACCTGCCCGAAACGCTATGCGTGCTAGTGGCTATACAAGAATGTAAGAACTCTTGTATGCATATATATATATATATATATATATATATATATATATATATATATATATATATATATATATATATATATATATATATATATATATATATATATATATATATATATATATATATATATATATATATATATATATATTGGTGTATACTGACAGCAGGTTTTCTTTCAAACATGTTTCATTGAATATGACCGCATATTCTGTATTTATTATTTTCTGGTTTAGGGCTTCTATCCCTCTAACTATTTTCTTAGCATCAGGGCTTAATTGGAATAGGAGTTCTCCAAAACTCATTTTCGTACTTTTAAGGTGAAGAAAAGAAGTGATTTACTATAGAGTGTATTACACTTATTTGTATAATTTGCACGACGTTTCGAACCTCCATGGTTCATTCTCAAGTGAACAGATCTTACAATACTAGTTGATTTTATACCCGCATTAGGTCAGGTGATAAAACAATGAAGGTGAAAACATGGGGGGATACATAAGGGATAAATGTGAGGTGAAACATAGAGGCTGCAGAAGGCTTATTGGCCCATACGAGGCATCTCCTATCTAAACACAAAGATTAATCCAGTGTAATTGGCCTGTTATGTTGGACATTGTCTTCTGTGTTCGACAAGACAAGAACATATCGATGCCAACACAGAAGACAATGTCCAACATAACAGGCCAATTACACTGGATTAATCTTTGTGTTTAGATAAGAGATGCCTCGTATGGGCCAATAAGCCTTCTGCAGCCTCTATGTTTCACCTCACATTTATCCCTTATGTATCCCCCCATGTTTTCACCTTCATTGTTTTATCACCTGACCTAATGCGGGTATAAAATCAACTAGTATTGTAAGATCTGTTCACTTGAGAATGAACCATGGAGGTTCGAAACGTCGTGCAAATTATACAAATAAGTGTAATACACTCTATAGTAAATCACTTCTTTTCTTCACCTTAAAAGTACGAAAATGAGTTTTGGAGAACTCCTATTCCAATTAAGCCCTGATGCTAAGAAAATAGTTAGAGGGATAGAAGCCCTAAACCAGAAAATAATAAATACAGAATATGCGGTCATATTCAATGAAACATATATATATATATATATATATATATATATATATATATATATATATATATATATATATATATATATATATATATATATATTTCCTCCGTTTTAAAACGGAGGAAAGGGTCCTGAAAGATATTGTTAATAGAAACGTTATCCCTACATACAAAAATCAGAGGATACAACTGACGATTTACTATAAAACCAGAAAAACGGCCAGCCTACTCATGAGAAACTCTCCAGACACAAAGCAGAACGCTTTAAAAGAGACCAACGTCGTCTATGCCTTCAAATGCCCTCTTGGGGACTGTAAGCTCAAAAAAACCCAGTATATAGGCAAGACAACAACATCTCTCTCTAGGCGTTTAACGATGCATAAGCAACAGGGCTCCATTAAGGAACGTATAATCTCTTCCCACAACCAAACCACCGCCAGAGAAATCCTAGTAAACAACACAGAAATCATCGATAGATACAGCGATAGCAGACGGCTTGACGTTTGCGAGGCACTACACATTAAGAAGTCAACACCAGCAATCAACAGCCAATTAATGCACAACTATATTCTACCCACCTCAAGACTCCGCTCCAATATAGAAGCATCAAGAAATATGGACCAATAGGCTTTCTACAATCACTTCCATTCAATACCCATTGTTTCGTGTTTTGTCTTGTGTTGATGAATTTAATACCTATTAATACCACCTCACCCCATCCACCTCACTCAAATGTAGATATAAACAAATCGGAGATGTGTAAGTTCTATTCAGTTGTGTATGTGTAAACTAAAGTCTTTGAAAATGTAATAAGTTTTACGAAACGCGCTCAAGTGTCGCGTCAGACTAGAAATAAAAATGAATTTTGGAGAATTGATTTTTGAATTACCACCAGTAGTGAAAAGAAATGTACGAAAGATTGAGAAAATTCTTGTTAGAATTATTAATCTTACTTTTTCGGTCATATTTAATAATATATGTCTACAGGAAAGACTGCTACCAAATATACTATTATATATATATATATATATATATATATATATATATATATATATATATATATATATATATATATATATATATATATATACACTTAACAAAAGAATAGGGGTGGTAGGAGAAGAAAATATCAAAGTGTTCAGTGAGGATCCACAAGGTCTTCTCTGAGTACTCTTTATTTTCTTCTCCGAGGCTATGGGTCCCTACACTTGCACCAGAGGTGGTACCCCTTCTAGGTATAAAAAAAAAAAATATATATATATATATATATATATATATATATATATATATATATATATATATATATATATGAAATATTTCTGTCCCACCGGGGGATCGAACCTAGAAGCAGATTACAAAATATCTACTAATGATCATAATGAAATAGTAGACTAATGATCGAATGAGGTCTGATGTTCTTGTAATATGTCAATTATATTGTTCTCAATTTTTTTTTCTACTTCAGGTTCACCTTTCTGGGGGGCCTCGTATCCTGCTCCCTGGATAGAACCCCATATGAACCCTACTCTAAACTGCCTTGGTCTACAGACCCCCGGAAGGCATTACTTTAGGGCTGTGGACTGCCAAACCTTACAGTACCCACTGTGCATGGCTTCCTAGCCCAATGGGTTAAGTAGTCACTTGCAGGGAAAAATGAGGTCATGTCGTCTACCTGGGGCCTTGACTACAGCATGTTACGTCTATCTGGAAGCCTCACCTCTGCTGGCCTCGACAACAGTATCTCCATTGCAGAAAATGCTGAAGCTTGTTCAGCTTTTACATGGCATAAATATATTGATTATAATTCAAATTTGATTTAATTCCCTGTGATTAAATTACACGAGTATTAACTTTTAGTAACATTTCAATAATAATTATTAACTGCAGAAAATTTCATGATAAATTTCATTGTGGTTTAGTATGATTTAAAGAATAAATATTGATATATACTTAAAACAACCCTCATTCCAAAATTTATTTGTGATTAAAATGCTGATTCAATTATTCACCAATAGGCTACAACCATATCTGAGAAGCTGACATATATAGATATTAGTGCATCTGTTAGGATGTACTCATGGTTATTATAATGCACACTCACTGTTCAGGTGGCATGCACTGCTGATCGTTTGCACAGCTAAAGTTGATAACTTTTATATCTTGTGTGAACAGTTCGACATCCCCAGCTGGTCCATGGGTAGTCCCATAATGTGAGTCCCATTAAACATTGAAGCCTTAATACATCTTTGAGCACCGCTCTGGTGATTCGGTTGTGTGGTCTTGATCTGGCGAGTCTTAGGAACGTCAGTGACGTTGGTGAGTCTTAGGAACATCAGTGATGTTGGTGAGTCTTAGGAACGACAGAGATATTGGCGAGTCTTAGGAACGTCAGTGATGTTGGTGAGTCTTAGGAACATCAGTGATGTTGGTGAGTCTTAGGAACGACAGAGATATTGGCGAGTCTTAGGAACGTCAGTGATGTTGGCGAGTCTTAGGAACATCAGTGATGTTGGTGAGTCTTAGGAACGACAGAGATATTGGCGAGTCTTAGGAACGTCAGTGATGTTGGCGAGTCTTACGAACGTCAGTGATGTTGGCGAGTCTTAGGAACGGCAGTGATGTTGGTGAGTCTTAGGAACGTCAGTGATGTTGGCGAGTCTTAGGAACGTCAGTGATGTTGGTGAGTCTTAGGAACGTCAGTGATGTTGGTGAGTCTAAGGAACGACAGTGATGTTGGTGAGTCTAAGGAACGTCAGTGATGTTGGCGAGTCTTAGGAACGTCAGTGATGTTGGCGAGTCTTAGGAACGTCAGTGATGTTGGCGAGTCTTAGGAACGGCAGTGATGTTGGTGAGTCTTAGGAACGTCAGTGATGTTGGTGAGTCTTAGGAACGTCAGTGATGTTGGCGAGTCTTTGGAACTACAGTGATGTTGGCGAGTCTTAGGAACGACAGTGATGTTGGCGAGTCTTAGGAACGTCAGTGATGTTGGTGAGTCTTAGGAACGTCAGTGATGTTGGCGAGTCTTTGGAACTACAGTGATGTTGGTGAGTCTTAGGAACGACAGTGATGTTGGCGAGTCTTAGGAACTACAGTGATGTTGGCGAGTCTTAGGACCTACAGTGATGTTGGCGAGTCTTAGGAACGTCAGTGATGTTGGCGAGTCTTAGGAACGTCAGTGATGTTGGCGAGTCTTAGGAACGTCAGTGATGTTGGCGAGTCTTAGGAACGTCAGTGATGTTGGTGAGTCTAAGGAACGACAGTGATGTTGGTGAGGCTTCGAAACGTCAGTGATGTTGGCGAGTCTTAGGAACGTCAGTGATGTTGGCGAGTCTCAGGAACGTCTTTAATGTTGGCAAGTCTTAGGAACGTCAGTGATGTTGGCGAGTCTTAGGAACGTCAGTGATGTTGGCGAGTCTTAGGAACGTCAGTGATGTTGGCGAGTCTTAGGACCTACAGTGATGTTGGCGAGTCTTAGGAACGTCAGTGATGTTGGCGAGTCTTAGGAACGTCAGTGATGTTGGCGAGTCTTAGGAACGTCAGTGATGTTGGCGAGTCTTAGGAACGTCAGTGATGTTGGCGAGTCTTAGGAACGTCAGTGATGTTGGCGAGTCCTAAAGTCTGCAGTTATAAGCGGACGATGCCAGACTTTTAGACAACCACACATTTGGGTCTCAACTCTAGAAGTTCAACTTTTGTTATAATGCAAATGTAAAACTTAAAGACAAAGAAGTGCCAAGGGCCAGTCAAAATAATTTACATGGTGTTCAAAAGACCGTAAATAAGAAGTTATTGAACCCTTACAATTTTTATAAATCATTAGAGTCAGCAAAATATCGGAGTTAAAGAGGGTTGCAAATGTGGTGCCGATTTTTAGGAATAGAGTTAGATCATTTGTGTTTAACTGTGGTCCAATTACTTTATAGTCTGTTGACCAGACCACACACTAGAAATTGAAGGGACGACGACGTTTCGGTCCGTCCTGGACCATTCTCAAGTCGATTGTGAGAATGAGAATGGTCGACTTGAGAATGGTCCAGGACGGACCGAAACGTCGTCGTCCCTTCAATTTCTAGTGTGTGGTCTGGTCAACATACTTCAGCCACGTTATTGTGACTCATCGCCTGCACTTTATAGTCTATTGTAAGATAATGGTTTGAATCAATAAACGCAAAAAGACTCATCGTTTTCATGCAGATGATGAGTCACAATAACGTAGCTGAATATAAGTAGGGGTTTGAGAGCCATATAATGCCATCTATATACAGCGATCAGATAAGGAATCAGAGGCGGAGTGCCAGATAGAGCCACTCCATATTAGGTCATCTGAGGTGGGTGTGGCAGCAGTCAAAAAAACAGTGTAGATAGGTATCCATTACGTACTGCTATGTCCATGTTCTTTATACACCAAAAGTATGTAGATATGTCTAAGTATAAATGAATATATATAAATATATAATATACACAGGTGGGTGCCAGTTACACCCCCTCCCTCGAAAACAAAGTCCCCAGGTAGGATGTCTCTATGGGCAGGTGTAAAACAGGTTCCTCTCAGTAGGGTGGTCCCCACTACCCCCTCCCCCCCCTCACGACCTTGTCTGTAGCGTAAGAGAGGCCCCCCCCACCCCTCTCCCAAGTGGCCTTAAAGGTGCTTATACTCAAGGATATATATATATATATATATATATATATATATATATATATATATATATATATATATATATATATATATATATATATATATATATATATATATATATGCATATATATATATATGTCGTACCTAGTAGCCAGAACGCACTTCTCGGCCTACTATGAAAGGCCCGATTTGCCTAATAAGCCAAGTTTTCCTGAATTAATATATTTTCTCTAATTTTTTTCTTATGAAATGATAAAGCTATCCATTTCATTATGTATGAGGTCAATTTTTTTTATTGGAGTTAAAATTAACGTAGATATATGACCGAACCTAACCAACCCTACCTAACCTAACCTAACCTATCTTTATAGGTTAGGTTGGAATAGGTAGCCGAAAAAGTTAGGTTAGGTTAGGTTAGGTAGGTTAGGTAGTCGAAAAAACATTAATTCATGAAAACTTGGCTTATTAGGCAAATCGGGCCTTGCATAGTAGGCTGAGAAGTGCGTTCTGGCTACTAGGTACGACATATATATATATATATATATATATATATATATATATATATATATATATATATATATATATATATAAGTGTGTGTGTGTGTGTGTGTACTCACCTATTTGTGCTTGCGGGGGTTGAGCTTTGGCTCTTTGGTCCCGCCTCTCAACTGTCAATCAACTGGTGTACAGATTCCTGAGCCTACTGGGCTCTATCATATCTACATTTAAAACTGTGAATGGAGTCAGCCTCCACCACATTACTGCCTAGTGCATTCCATCCGTTAACTACTCTGACACTGAAAAAGTTCCTTCTAACGTCTCTGTGGCTCATGTGGGTACTCAGTTTCCACCTGTGTCCCCTTGTTCGCGTCCCACCAGTGTTGAATAGTTTATCCTTGTTTACCCGGTCGATGTACTCACCTAGTTGTACTCACCTAGTTGTGTTTGCGGGGGTTGAGCTCTGGGTCTTTGGTCCCGCCTCTCAACCGTCAATCAACAGGTGTACAGATTCCTGAGCCTATCGGGCTCTGTCATATCTACACTTGAAACTGTGTATGGAGTCAGCCTCCACCACATCACCCCCTAATGCATTCCATTTGTCAACCACTCTGACACTAAAAAAGTTCTTTCTAATATCTCTGTGGCTCATTTGGGCACTCAGTTTCCACCTGTGTCCCCTTGTGCGTGTTCCCCTTGTGTTAAATAGACTGTCTTTATCTACCCTATCAATTCCCTTCAGAATCTTGAAGGTGGTGATCATGTCCCCCGTAACTCTTCTGTCTTCCAGCGAAGTGAGGTTTAATTCCCGTAGTCTCTCCTCGTAGCTCATACCTCTCAGCTCGGGTACTAGTCTGGTGGCAAACATTTGAACCTTTTCCAGTTTAGTCTTATCCTTGACTAGATATGGACTCCATGCTGGGGCTGCATACTCCAGGATTGGCCTGACATATGTGGTATACAAAGTTCTGAATGATTCTTTACACAAGTTTCTGAATGCCGTTCGTATGTTGGCCAGCCTGGCATATGCTGCTGATGTTATCCGCTTGATATGTGCTGCAGGAGACAGGTCTGGCGTGATATCAACCCCAAGTCTTTTTCCTTCTCTGACTCCTGAAGAATTTCCTCTCCCAGATGATACCTTGTATCTGGCCTCCTGCTCCCTACACCTATCTTCATTACATTACATTTGGTTGGGTTAAACTCTAACAACCATTTGTTCGACCATTCCTTCAGCTTGTCTAGGTCTTCTTGAAGCCTCAAACAGTCCTCTTCTGTTTTAATCCTTCTCATAATTTTAGCATCGTCCGCAAACATTGAGAGAAATGAATCGATACCCTCCGGGAGATCATTTACATATATCAGAAACAAGATAGGACCGAGTACAGAGCCCTGTGGGACTCCACTGGTGACTTCACGCCAATCGGAGGTCTCACCCCTCACCGTAACTCTCTGCTTCCTACTGCTTAGATACTCCCTTATCCACTGGAGCACCTTACTAGCTACACCTGCCTGTCTCTCCAGCTTATGTACCAGCCTGTCAAAGGCTTTCCGACAATCCAAGAAAATGCAGTCCGCCCAGCCCTCTCTTTCTTGCTTAATCTGTGTCACCTGATCGTAGAATTCTATCAAGCCTGTAAGGCAAGATTTACCCTCCCTGAACCCATTTTGGCGAT